TGTCGGGGAGATGCGATGAAAAGGAGGTTTTATTTAATCACTTTTGCTTCCAAAGATAAAATGAGGAGATTCTAATTTTTTAATTAGTTTTGGGGTAAAAAGTAAAGCCTTTACTTCCTTAATCAAAAGGTTACATGCATAAAACTTGTATTAATGACACTGATTTGATTTGTTGATGAATATATCAATATTTCAGATGAGCCTGCAGCGTCCCTGTGGTGCTGAAATAAAATGTCCCCACATGATGTGGATATTTCACAATAAGAAAACATTGTGTTCTCCTGATTGACACATTGTGGCACTGATTGGGAATTAGATCAAATTTTGAAAAGTATTCTCAGGTATGAATATGGATGTCCAGTTGCTTCCCCCGATGACGGGATGTCACTCTTTATTTATCGGTCTCCCAGCTCCTCATCACTTCTCCTCTCTCTATGCAGAGCACCTCCTCGGGTCACAATGGTCGTGGGCGAGGAGGTGCAGTGCGTCCTCCTCAGGATGATCCCGAAGAGGAATCCTGAGAATCGAGCAGCAGCTCTGACGGAGTGATTCTCATTCTTTGAAGGAAAAACAAGTATTTTTCTCCTCTCCTCATTTCCTCGCGGCCTCATCCCTCCTCTCCCCGCTCGCTCTGCCGCTCCTTAATCCCTTCCTCCTACTTTTTGCCTCCTTCTTTGCTTTTCCTTTCTCCTTATTTGTTCTCTCACCCCCATCCCTCCCCTTTTCCCTCTCTTGTCCTCACCTCCTCTTCCTCTCCTCTTCCTCCTCCTGTCGGCAACATGTGGAGCCGTCGCCGTGGCAACGAGGGGAGGTGACATGTGCAGTAGACAGGCAGGGAATGGAGGGAGGGATGGGAGGAATATAAGGAGGAGCCCCACCGCGCACTTTGTAGTCTCTCTCTCTCTCTCTCTCTCCCTCCGAAAAAGCAAACAGCGTCTCATTCCTCTCTGTGGAGGTGTTGGAGGCTGCTGCTCCTCTTCCTCCTCTCCGCTCCTCTTGGAACGTGCGCTGAGTGTAGAAAAAAAAAGGGGGAGAAGAATGGAGAAAAATCTGCAATTTTCATTTTTGTCTCTTTTTGCGGCGGACGAGAAGAGGATGGCGAAGAAGAAAAAAGGAGGAAGAGGAGGAGAGGAAGCTGGGAACTTTCTTTTTCGTGTCAAGGGAGAGAAAGTGGATGATGGGAGGTGATGAAACTCCCTCTCTTCTCCTCTTCCTCCGCCCGGTGGCGTTCCGTCTCTGAGTCGGTGGTGTCGGAGCAGCCGGACTGGAGGGGGGGGGGGGGGGGGGCGTAGACGCGGGCGGAGGTGTCTGTTGCGTCACCTCACCATGGATTTTTGGTAGGATTGAATTGTTGTTCTGCATGCTAATAACGCCAAACCTCTAAGTCTCTCCTACTCTTCTTCCTCTTCTTTCATTCCTGTTGGATTGTGGTGTGTGGGGGGGGGGGGGGGGGGGGGGGGGGGGGGGCAGGGGGGGTGCACATGTTATGCACCATCCCTTTTACAAAAGAGGGGAGGCATTATGTATTTTGTGTTTGAGTGGAGTCCCTCTCTCTGGCTTGAACTTTAAATCTGGCCGTGCTGTCTTCATTGAAATGTTGGAGTGTGTGGTGTGTGTGTGTGTA